TCAAAGAGGAAGTCAAGAAAGTAATCAAACACTATCTTGAGACAAATGAAAATGAAAATACAACCTTACAAAATGTATGGGATGTAGCAAAAGCACTTATTACAGGAAAGTTTCTAGCTGTATAGGCCTACCTCAAGAAAGAGAGAAAATTCCACATAAACAATCAATTTGCTCCTGAAGAAACTAGAAAATGAGGAACAAACAAAACCCAAAGTAAGTAGAAGGAAGGAAATAATAAAGATCAAAGTGGAAATAAATAGAAAAACGTAAGGGCTGGTTCTTTGAAAGGATAAATAAAATTGGCAAGCTTCTAGCAATACTCATTAAAAGAGAGAGAGAGAGAGAGAGAGAGAGAGAGAGAGAGAGAGAGAGAGAGGGAGAGGATACAAATAAAATCAGAAATGAGAGATTACAATCAACACCACAGAAATACAAAGGATCATTAAAGAATACTATAAACAATTATATGCCAACAAATTAGAAGAAATTGATTTACAACCTTCCAAAACTAAACCAGGAAGAAACAGAGAATGTGAACAAACCAATTACTAGCAATAACACTGAAACATCAAATAAAGAAAACTCCCAACAAACAAAAGCCTAGGATAAGATGACTACACAAATGAATTCTCAAACTATTCCAAAAAAGTGAAGAGGAAGGAGTACTTCTAAACTCATTCTACTTGCCAGCATAATCCTTATACCAAAATCAGACAAAAACACAAGAGAATTATAGGCCAATATCTCTGATGCACATAGATGCCAAATTATCAACAACAAAAAAACAAATTTAATAGTATTTTAAATGAATGTACACAATAATCAAGTGGGATTTATAGCAGGGATGCAAGAGTGGTTCAACATCCACAAAACTAGTACTGTGATTCATCACATCAGCAAAACCAAGGATAAAATTCATGATGATATCAATAAATGCTGAAAAAACATTTCATAGAATTCAGTACCCATTTATGATTTTAAAAAAAACTCTTTAACAAAGTGGGTATAGATGGAGCTTAACTTAATTAACACTCTCTATATCTATCTATCTATCTAGATATAGATTTAGATATAGTTTTAGATATATAGATAAGCACACAACATCATACTCAGTGGTAAAAGCATGAAAGTTTTTCCTGTAAGATCAGGAACAAGATCAGGACGCCCACTCTCATCATTACTATATATATAATATAGTGTTGGAAGTGCTAGCCACAGTAGATGAGAAAGAAATAAAAGCACCCATATTGGAAAGAAAGTAAAACTCACTATTTATAGATGACACAATACTATCAATATAGAAAACCCTGAAGAATCCATCCCAAAATTAATAAAACAATACAGTACAGTAGCAGGATACAGAATTAATATACAGAAATCTGTCACATTTCTATACACTAATAATGAAAGCTCAGAAGGAGAAATTAAATAAGCAATACCATTTATAATTATATCAAAAAGAATAAAATACCTAGGAATAAATTTAACCAGGGAAATGGAAGACATGTACTCTGAAAACTGTAAAACACTGTAGAAAGTGAAAGGACCTAAATAAATGGAAGGCTATACCATGCTCACGAATAGGAAGGATTAGTATAATTAAGATACCATACTACCCAAAGCAATCTACAGATCCAGTGCAATTCTTATCAAAATAACAATGGCTGCCCTGGCCGGTTTTGCTTAGAGGTTAGACTTGCAGGGGATGATATTTATAACATCATTCATAAGCCATAGGGATTATCCACTTAAAAACTAGCCTGCATGCAATATACAGATCTTGTAATGTAGAATCCCACACCTCAAAGCTGTATGTTCATGTTGAACAATGTCACCCCAATCAATTTAATTTAAAAAAAATTAGCCTGCTATATTTGGTCAAATATTTAATTAACCCACCCTAAATGCCCTGGCAGGGCCAGACCAAATGTTCCCCACCCCTGGGTTAGAGTGTCAGCCTGTGCACTATTAAGGGTTCAATTCCAGGTCGAGAGCATGTACCTGAGTTGCAGGTTCAATCCCTGGCCCCAGTCAGGGCACGTGCAGGAGGCAGCCAACTGATGTGTCTCTCTCACATAAATGTCAATGTGTCTCTCTCTCTCTCTCTCTCTCTCTCTCTCTCTCTCTCTCTTCTCCTACTTTCAAATAATAAATGGAAAATATATCCTCAGGAAAGGATTAATAATGACAACAAAATAGCAATAGGCCTTCTCAGAACTAGAATAATTAGTTCTACGCTTATGTGATACCTCAAAAGACCACAGATACCCAAGGCAATCTTGAGAAAGAACAAAGTTGGAGGTATAATGCTTCCTGATTTTAAGCTATATTACAAACCTATAATAATTAAAACAGCATGGTAGTAACACAGAAAACAAACACATAAATCAATGGAACAGAATAGAGAGCCCAGAAATAAACCCTCATTTATATGGTTAACTAATCAACAACAAAGTTTAGAGTATACAATGGAATAATGACAGTCTCTTCAACAAGTGGTGCTGGGGAAATGGACAGATATATGCCTTCCCCCACCCCCATCCCCAAAAAGAAAGAAACGGGACCACTCTTACACCGTATACAAAAATAAATTCAAAATGGATGAAAGACTTACCTGTAAGGCCTGAAATCATAAGTCTCTAGAAGAAAAGATAGGTAGTAAGCTATTTGACACCAATCTGAGGAATATCTTAGTATATATCCCCTCAAGCAAGGGAAACAAAGGAAAAATAAACAAATGGGACTTCCTCAAACTAAAAAGCTCTGGACAGTGAAGAAAACCATCAACAAAACAAAAAAACCAACCTACTGAATGGGAGAATATATTTACAAATGATATCTGATAAGGGGTTGATATCCAAAAGCTATAAGAAACTCATACAACACAATAACAACAAAAAAACCCACAGCAATCTAAAAAAATGTGCAGAGGACATACATGTAAAGACATTTCTCCAAAGAAGACGTACAAATGGTCAACAAACATGAAAAGATGTTCAACATCATTAATCATCAAGGAAATGCAAATCAAAACCACAATGAATATCATCTCACTCAGTCAGAATGGCTGTTATCAAAAAAGTAACCTGTTGGAGAAAAGGGAACCCTTGTGCACTGTGAATGAACTGCAAAGTGGTGTAGTCAATATGAAAAACAGGATGGAGATTCTACTTCTGGGTATTTATCTGAAGGAAACAAAAACACTAATTCGAAAAGATATATGCAGCCTATATTCATTGTACAATTATTTACAATATTTACAAAAGCCAAGATGTGGAATCAACCTAAGTGTCCATCAATAGATGAACGGGTGTGATACACCCACACACACACAAACACACACATGGAATATTACACAGCAATAAAAAAATGAAATTTTGTCATCTATGACAATATGATTTTGAGGATATTATGCTAAGAGAAATAAGTTAGAGTAAGACAAGTACTATGGTTTCATTTATCTGTGGAAACCAAGGGAAAAAAAAAAAGAAAAAGAAACATAATACCCACAAACAAAACAAAAACTATTCATAGAAAGACCAAAGAAATAGTTACTAGATGCTGGGAATGGTTGAAAAAAAGTAAAAGAGAATAGTCAATAATCCTATATAATAAAAGGCTAATATGCAAATCACCTGAATGGTGGAATGATTGGTTGCTATGGCATGCACTGACCACCAGGGGGCAGACGGTTAATGCAGGAGCTTCCCGCGGGTGGTCAGTGTGCTCCCACAGGGGGAGCGCCGCTCAGCCAGAAGCCCTGAGCCAGGCTCACAACTGACAAGCGCAGAGACAACGACAGGAGCCTCTCCTGCCTCTGTGGTAGCACTAAGGATGTCCGACTGATGGCTTAGGCCCACTCCCCCTGCTGGACATCCCCTGAAGGCTCCAGGACTGTGAGAGGATGTAGGCCAGGCTGAGGGACACCCTCAAGTACACGAATTTTGTGCACCAAACCTCTAGTATGTAATAAGACTACTAGAATTAGTGGAGTGATCACATTATAAGGTATAAAAAGGTAGAATCACTATATTATACAACTGACACTAATGTAACTAGTATAATATTGGATATTAACTTAAATTTAAAATTTTAATTTAACAAACAAACAAAAAAAAGCTCTCAACCTAGAGCCATGTAGTGAATCCCCAAGACACAGGATTAAATGGAAAGTGGAAGGTTCAGAATTGCTTAGGTCAGGGTACTGTCCTTTGCAATTTTAAAGGAAATTCAAACAAATGCAGACTGGTTTGGGCTGATACTGTTAATAATGGTTCCTTGTGGAATCAGGGCTTATGCGTCGGTGGGGGCGAGGCTTGCATTTTTACCGTGTATTCATTTATACTGCTTAACTAAAACAAGCAAACCAGCCAACCTTTGACAAGTGTTGCCTCAAACATTACTTAATGGGTGGTGGAATTCAGCTCTACCTCCACCTCCACTAAGCAAACATTTGATTGTCAGACTCAGGTCCTAAGTGTAAACAGGGAAAGACTTTCAGCAGAGGATAATCAATACTGCTCTGAACTGCCAAGGGACAGGAAGATTTCCTCCCATTGGAAATCTTTAAAGACACTCTCCCTCCTGCACTTTGTAAAGGGCTAAGTGGAGGAAATGGACGCGAGGATTCATTATCCTTTTGAGTCTTTGGCCTCTGGAGTACTTAAGGAATTGAACCACAGCTGCCGTCACTCTAAATTCAATGTGTAATGTTCTGTGGGTTTTAATTTCTTCTGAGGGAATCATTTTCATTTCTAGTTGGCAGATTTTTTTTTTTTTTAACTTCACTTCTCCGAATGGACCTGTCAGTCAAGGCTGCCTCCTGGAGCCCCTCTCCATAACCATCAGGACGGGACCTCTGGCTTCCAGAAAGTCAGCCCCAGCATGGGGCACTGACCTCTCTGTGCCTTGAACCAGGCATGTGACCCCTGGGCACCCCAAGAAAGCCAGGGTCAGACATTAATTGCCTGCCTTTGCCTTGTTTTTCCATCCTGCTGCAGGATTTAGATCTGTTCCTCTGAAGAATGGGTACAGTGAAGACATTGAGCTGGCTTCCCTCCTGGTTTTCTGTGAGATGCGGCCGGTGCTGGTGAGTGGAGAGACACCTTGGGGTTCCCTGAGCTACGTCTGCTGGTGGGGTGGAAATGATCGAGGAGTAAATGCTTGGCTGGTGGACTTAAACCCACCAAGAATTATCTAGCCCAACATGTCACATCATTACAAAAGAATTCCTTTCAGCTACAGATTTCCCCATAGGTCCTAGGTGTTGTTGTTGTTTTTTTTTTTTTTTCCTCCCAGCATCCATCCTCCTTGGAGAATACTGCATAATTCTAGGAGTGGCTATATCATTGGAAAGGGAGAAGCTCTTTGGCAACTCCTCATAGTTTCATTTTAGCAAGAGCCAGACAAGATGATGCTCTTCTAGATAAGTTCGTCCTTCCTGGATGCCATTCTCTGCCTGTTGGTCTTGGGTAATCCCTTGAAAGCATCCAACAAGACCTTGCCAAGGGGAAGGATATTCACAGAGCACAGTTTCTCACAGGAAGCAGCACTCTTCTTGTGGTTCTCTCTGCTACTGGAGGAGCCTGCATTTTTGGTCCTTTTGTTTTGCCAGGGTCTTGAAGATATTTAATCCCTTCTTTTATTAGCCAGTTAGAGTAGACTTAGCAGAAAGGGCTTGGCCTCCTTGAACTATGCAAGATGTTGAGATGGATTGCCGAGAACACAGCTCCAAGCTGTGGTATTAAAGGCCTTGGTTTGATGGTGGGTGAAGATGTGGATCCTTACTGTGATTCTGGACTGTCAGATTCTGAATCTTCTTGGTGGTCTCTCCCAGAGAATGAAACCCACTCAGCATGTGTTTTTGCAAGTGCTCATGCGTGGCCATTACAATCTCCAAAGACCTTCCCAGCCCCTTGCTACAAAATCCAGTGTAGGCAGGGAGGATTTCTGTGGTCAGTCCAGTTTTCTTGGGATAAACTTTGATCATGGTTCCAGACCCCCGTAGGCTAATGTGGGTTTAGTCAGTGCTTCTGGATACACCTCTTGTTTTCTCAGTCTGTTGTTCCCTGGGTAGAGAAGTCATGTATGGCTTGCCATTCTTTTGGCTGCAAGAACTACACAGCAATGTCCTGGCTGGTTTGATTCAGCGGATAGAGCGTCGACCTGTGGACGGAAGGGTCCCCAGGTTCGTTTCTGGTCATGGGCACACGTACCTTGGTTGCAGGCTTGATCCAGGCCCAAGGGTATGGGAGGCAACCCATCGATGTCAATGTTTCTCTTCGTTTAAATATCGATGGGAAAATATCCTTGGGTGAGGATTAACAACAACAACAAAAAGAAGGGAAGTTGCTAATTTGGGAATTTCCAGAATCTAGCTGAGAACTACCAAATGGGAAAGGAGGATGGCAGAGGTGGGGAAACATTTTAACAGCCATGTCCATGCAGTAAAAATTCACAAACTCGATTCACAGGAGAAAACAGAGTCTTTTCTGCAGAGCTGATTCAGTTTGGCACTTGTGAAAGTTTCACATTCCAAAGCGTTTTAGAAGCATCGAGATGAAAGGGGATACAAAAATAAGAAGAGACAGAAAGCAATAAAAACAGGAAGCAGAGACTTAAAAGGAGCACTAGTTGGGAACCTAGAACCTCAGTGGCCGTCAAGGGCATCACTTGGATAAGACATACACTCACAATGATGAAATCCTGTCTCCAAAAAATAAGGGGGCAGATGATGGAAAGTTTTCCATTTTGAAACAATTTTTAAATAGTAGTGCTTTGGACTCTGTCGAAATAAGTGCAGTGTTTATGTGAAAATTATAGTTTTCACTTGAACCTTGATTTATGGATAAAAAAAATCACCTTTCATGATTCTCCCAGTGATAGAAATGCTTGTTCATGAAAGTTTATATCAATTCCTCCTTTTACCAGGCGCCTGAGTCAGCCAGTGGGTTCCTTGTTGGAAATGAGCAAGTCTTAAATTTCTTCTCTTTTGCCATGAATTATGCATTTGTCAATTAATCATTAATAAGACTATCTGAGGTCTTTAAGAAGTCCATTAACAGACTGAAGCCATAGAATATTATGTTGCATAAATAATTTTTAAAAACTGCATGCATGCCCTGGCTGGTTTTCTCAGTGATTAGAACCTTGGCCCACAAACTGAAGGGTCACAGGTTCAATTCCTGCTCAAGGGTACATACCTCAGTTGTAGGTTCAATTCCCAGCCCCAGTCCATCTCTCTCTCTCTCTCATATCAATATTTCTCTCTCCCCTTCCTTGCCCCCCACCCACCTTCTTTCTCCCTTCCACTTTCTCTAAAGATCAGTGGAAAAAATATCCTCCGGTAAGGATTCAAAACAAAACAAAACAACCATGCATAGCCCAGATTGTGTAGAAAATATGGTCTTACAATTTGGGGGAAGAGACGAGTAGATAAAGCTAGCATTTGGCCTGTTTGCTTCCTTCATTTCCAGGCCAATGCATTTTTTAAGTGTGATATGTTAATAACGAATTCCTGTATGCATGTATAATTTTTTTCTTTAAAGCAGTTTTTTAAAGATATTTTTATTGGTAGTATTTTAATATATATATATATTTTTTTAAATATATTTTATTGATTTTTTACAGAGAGGAAGGGAGAGAGCTAGAGAGCTAGAAACATCAATGAGAGAGAAACATTGACCAGCTGCCTCCTGCACACCCAACGAGGATGTGCCCACGACCAATGTACATGCCCTGACCAGAATCAAACCTGGGACCCTTCAGTTCACAGACTGACACTCTATCCACTAAGCCAAACTGGTTTCGGCTGTTTTAATATATTTTTCTTGCTTTTAGAGAGGGAGAAGGAGAGAGAGAAACATTGATGATAAGAGAATCACTCATCAGCTGACTCCTACACTCCCCCCCCCCTCCCCCGCCATTAGGGATTGAGCCCGCAACCTGGGCACATGCTCCGACCTGGAATCGAACCTTGACTTCCTGGTTCATAGGTTGACACTCAACCACTGAGCCACACTGGCTGGGCAGGGTTTTTTATTTGTTTGCACTACTGACATTTGAGCCAGACCATTCTCTGTAGTGGGAGCTATTCGATGCAATATAAGATGCTTGGCCACATCCCTGCCCCTGATCTACGGTACTAAATGCCAGTAGCACGCCCTTCCCCTAGTATAAACAGTCAAAACTAACTCCAGACATTGTCACATGTCCCCAGGGTGGCAAAAGTCATCCTCAATCAAGAACCACTGCTTTAAAGCAAGATTATAAGCACCTTTCATACTATTAGTCTTCGTTAGCATTTAATGGCTGACAGATTTTTCCATCAAGCTGATGGACCACAGATTAAGCATTCCCCTAAATTGGACATTTAGACAGGCGCCACTTACAAATAAGGCTCTTGGGAACATCTTCCTGTGGTTACTCTTTCCCTCCTATAATTCTGAAGTAATTCCTTAGGATTGATTGCCAGATATGGAATTAGTGGGATCAGTTCATGGAGAAGGATGGTAAAATTGTAAAGCCTGGGCCTTCCGCAAAAGCCTGGAACAAATAAGTAATCTTGAAGAAATCTTGCCTGAGTCAAGTTGACCTCTCTCAGCCCTCTTACACAGCCAACACATCCTCTGTGTGTAAAAGCCCTTTTGCAGACGTTCCACTGAAAAATGAAGTGATCAAAGCAGTTTCAGATGGCGGTTGGATAGTATTTGTCTAGATACTGCTGTGCAAAGCTGTCGTGAACAACTTGGAATCATTATACATAATTTAAATAATTAGGTACCGCTGGCAGCAGAGCAAGTTACTATATTTAAGAGAAAATGTGTTTATCCAGCCGAAGCCGGTTTGGCTCAGTGGTAGAGCATCGGTCTGCGGACTGAAAGGTCCCAGATTCGATTCCGGTCAAGGGCATGTACCTTGGTTGCGGGCACATCCCTGGTAGGGGGTGTGCAAAAGGCAGCTGGTCGATGTTTCTCTTTCATCGACATTTCTAGCTCTCTATCTCTCCCTTTCTCTCTGTTAAAAATCAATAAAATATATTTTTTAAAAAGAAAAAGAAAATGTGTTTATCCAGAGTTGACGTCCTGGGTGTGGGCAGCTTCACGCTTTGGTGCTGTTGGGGTTGCCCATGGAGTGTGGCGGTGATACAGGCCCACGGTGTGGGTTCCAGGTGGAGCAGTGACTCTCACAGAGCTGCTGTGAGAAGGGGTTTTCGAGGAAATGACTGAGTATGTCAGATTTCATTTCATGTGGTTTTCAGGTTTTTCTTTAACTCCAAAGCTGCCACCTGGTTCTGAGCCACCAGGCCAGCGGTGTGTCCGCCCCGCACTGCGACAGGAGTTTCTGGGAAGACGAGCCCGGTTGTGTTCGGTAGACCCTGGCTTTCTCACTGTCCAAGGTCACACCCTGTTTGATTTATCACCGTATCCTCTGTCATGCCAGAGAGAGACCCTCATAAACAGCTTCCCAGGAGATTTGTCTGAGCAAATGATTGATCCAGTGAGGACTGAGATGGAGTTTACTCATAAAACATTTGCTGAGAGAGGTTAAAGCCCCAGAAAACTGTCAATAAACATTTTAAGCCCCTTCTGAAGAAACCATTTATTTACAAGGCACAATTACTTTATCAATTCCCAGTTCTTTACTCAGCTGTGTGGATGGTTCACAAAGAGAATTTTTAGTGCCGTTTTATCACACACTATATTTAATTTGGAGCAGGAAAAGAAAAGGAGGGGGACTTGGAAAAATTCCCATAAACAACCTGTATATAACCCCTATTAGCACTTTGCTATATTTCCTTTGCCTGATAATTTTTTGCCTAGGATATATTCATAGAGTCATCTAATGCATATGAATGTGTGTCCTTTATCCGCTTCACAGGTGATTTGTAGCATTTTTTTTTCTATGTTATTATATGATTTCCAGCCATTAATGCCTATTTCATTAGTGTGAGTCCCTAACTCACTTAACCATTCTCTCACTGATGGACAGGTTGTTGGTAGCTTTTCACTTTATAAATAATGAAAGTCTTCCTATAACACTTTTTGATTAAAAATTATTTCCTGAGGCTAGATCTTTAGTAATGGAATA